ACAATCGTTGACAGGTCGTTGAAATTTGACGTGGTAAAATAAACATTGCATTTCCCACTTGTATCAACAGGTAGACAGCAAAGAGACTTTGAATAAAGGCCGCGTACTATGAACACATCTATATTAAGGACAGTCAGAATAGGCGATTAAGATGCGATTAAGGAGTGATTCAGTCAGCGATTCAGATGTGATTATCTAATTTATTTCGCATCATAAGTATGTGATAATCTTGTGTTTGCTTTGACCGTACGCGATTCAGATGCGCTTCAGGTGGTGTAATTTCTCTCCACCGTGATTGATAGCCATCCTGATTTTCACGCTGATATTTCTATTCAGGGCAACATCGCTGTCGATGCTACCTGCCTACCCACACATATTCCACGGTCGCGAATCCGAAGATTCCGAACTGGAACATGTTCTGAATATTTTGAAACAGGACAAGAGCCCGTATCGCGATCCTTGGCACGGGGAGGAACCAAAGCTCCCAAATCCCCCTCGTCTGATGTTAAAGTGCCACATCCCATGGTGAGTGACTACATATTCCTATCATACACTCGCTCGCGTTTTGTTACACAATAATAACACTCCCAGGTATTGCAAACGGCCGCGGCCCCCACAAGCATACATGAGACTACAATACCTGAACACTACGGTTCATCACTGCGTGGCTCAACATACTGCTCCTTCCGCGCGTCAGCCAACGCCGTCTGATGCTGTCGCACAACTAATCAACACCCATAACTCACGCCCCCAAAATGAATCACACACGCACCTCACGCAGCTTCGCAAGATGTATGCGGAGCACCTCCGCGTAGTCGTCGAACCCCAGCGCGCGCATGGCGGCGAGGACGTCGTCGCCCGCGAGGGTCTTGCGCTTCTCGAGCAGCGCGCGCTCCGCGGCCTCGGCCGTGAGGAACGAGATGAACTCCGAGACGCACTCCTGCACGCACTCCTTCGCGTCTTTCCCGATCTTGGTGCTCGGGGGGACGGCGGCCTTCATCAGGCGCGCGACGTTGGCGATCTACATGCGTACGTCGCGTGAGCAGGCAGGCTGAGAGAGGGAAGGGAGAAGGGAGGGAGACGCACGGGGAGGAAGCGGTCCTGCTCGCGGTACTCGCCGACGTCCTGATCGGTTATCGCGGGCTGCGGCAGAAGAGCGGGCCCGGGCTGCCCCAGCGACACGCGCGGATCGGAGATGTGGGACACGGGGACCAGGGGCTGCAGATTAGACATTCGCCAGCAGCGAGGTGAACAGGGGGTAGAGATGCACAGGGGACAAGAAGAGGGTGGTCGATGTAAGGCCCCCGTGCCAAAAACCCTACGTACGTACGGACAAGTGTGCGCACTGTGTGGTTGAAATTTAATCAACGCCCATTCTGGTAAAATTGGCACAGGAAGTTTCAATTTACAGTCCATGAGAGGTACTGTGGCGCATACTGGATGTCCCACCACTGTCCACAAGTGACTCTATCGGCAGCCAATTTAGACTTGCGAGGAATGAACTTTCACAAGTGTGTCATATAATTAAGCCGAATGCGGCGGTGCATTCTATTAAACAATGTCAACTGTGGGACGAGTCGTTATTTCAATGTCGACGGGGTCATGAGACAGCCCGGGCCGGGTCTGGACTCGCAGTGAGCCCGAATCAAGTTGGAGCATGTGAAGTCCTCGTCTGCAGCTCTGGTATCGTAGTATTGTATGCTTCAATGTTAACAATATTGATGTTGACATTTTGACTTTTCGGATGGTGGAGGGTTCAGGTCGCACAAGCGCCTCTCAGAATATTAATCACTGTTCTTCCTTGTGCACACCGTTCGTTTAGGCCTCTTGTTGATTTCCAGCGAGTTCAATCGCTCGTTGCTCTAACTCAGATAAAAAGTTCCTCGGTCGTTTTTGTGCTGGGCTTGATCCGGCAAGGCCAGACTGCAGCAAATAATGCTTCAATCATGAATTCCAGCCATCCTTGCTTCTTTTTCATGTTCATGTTCGTTCAGCTTCAATGCAGAACCCGTTACGGTCCGGATTGAGCCGTTCGGAACTGATCCGACAAATAACGCGTCACATCCGTGACATGCGCTTCTCTTCTCTGCTCCTCCATGCTCGCGCAGCTTGGGGAAAGTCCTCCGCGAATGGATCGGGCTCATCCGTGCTGGTCTATAAATCTAAGTGCGGCACATGTGTCGCATCTTATTTTTGGTTGGGCCCCCATTTTGGTTGCGTGGAGATCGACGTCATCATGACCGCCTCGAACCAGGATTGAGTACAAAAGACCGAGGCCTGAGACCTTGGAAAAACCCATACGCAAGATGGTTCACCAACACGGCGACGAGCACGATATCCCGGATGAGCACAAGAATGATCAGAAGTAGCCGCCGTACTCTCCCTGCGCGCCATAAACTGAATATTGTAGACCCGGCGCATGGCTCCCGGCCGACCACCGTGTGCAACACGAGTGGCTCTCCCGCCAAGTCGACCACGTGGACAAGAACGGCCCCAAGGCGCTCATCCCAGTGCTGCAGGAGTTCAAGGACCTCATCGATGGCAACGCACGGATCTACATGTACTTCACCGAGATGTGGGACGAGATCCCGCGTAAACCGAAGTACGCCAAGGACCCGACGGGCAAGCGGCAGATCCGGGACTACGTCCACATGCTCGACGTCCTGAACCATGTTTTGACCAAGGGCCCCGAGTGGACCGATGCGGCTGCTGGCGTGGGCATGGTTGGGGTGCCGATTGTAGGAATCTTTGACTACGTCATGGGTACCCCGAGGTGAGATTAACGAGGTCGTCTGGTGGCTGCAATACGCTGACGACGTTGTAGCGGACACTCAGCGTTCCTGGACCCCGACGTGAACAAGATGCTCAAGAAGGTCTTGAACGAGTGGGGCAAGTTCTTGAAGTCCCCAGAGTCAGCGTACGTACTTGGCGACCACAAAGAGGGGTGGTTCGGGGAAACTGCTAACAAGGACATCATGCAAGTGGCCAATGCGCCGCTCCAGACGAATCACAAGTTTGAGGATATGTTCATCTGCGATCCTACCAAGAAGCATCACGGCTACAAGTCCTGGGATGGTTCGTGCTTTCCTCACTTTTCTGAACCTGAAAGTCGACGCGGCTGACCCCGTTGGCATTGACAGACTTCTTCACCCGTCAAGTCCACGAGGACGCTCGGCCAGTAGCCTCCCCAGACGACGACAGCGTGGTGGCCAACTGCTGCGAGTCCAAGGTCTACAACGTCGCGAGGGACGCCCAGCTGCGCGCCAAGTTCTTCATCAAAAACCAGCCATATTCCGTCCTCGACATGCTCGCGCACGACCCCCTCGCCGCCCAATTCGCCGGCGCGACCATCTACCAGGCCTTCCTGTCCGCGCTGTCGTACCACCGCTGGCACGCGCCCGTGAGCGGCACGATCGTGCGCGCCTTCGTCGAGGACGGCACGTACTTCAGCGAGCCGCTCTTCGAGGGCATCGGCGACCCGAGCGTGCACGACATCAACATCAAGGGCATCGGCCTGGCGCAGGGGTACCTCACTGCTCTCGCCACGCGCGCGGTGATCTTCATCGAGGCGGATAACAAGGATATCGGGCTGATGGCGTTTATTGGCGTGGGCATGGACGAGGTCAGCACGTGCGAGATTACGGTCAAGGAGGGGCAGCACGTCAGGAAGGGCGACCAGCTGGGGATGTTCCACTTTGGGGGCTCGTCGCACTGTCTGCTGTTCAGGAAGGGCGTGAAGGTGGATGGGTTCCCAGAGGTTGGGGGGGCTGCGAACGTGCCTGTGCGCAGCAAGGTTGCTGTAGTCCACAGCAGCTAAGGGGAGAGCGATTTTGGTGCGATAAACAGGGAGCATGTACGATAAGTCGAGGTAAGTGACATGGACTCGTAACGATAGAAACAAAGAAACTTTATGTGTGCACCAAAGAGGAACAGGAATGTCTGCATGGAGTGGATAATCGGTGTCGTGCGCTCCGATGCATTCAAGAACTCACGATTCATTAAGAGGGATAAAGCAGCTAAGAAAGGCGCCATGGGAGTGGTTTCCGCCGCTGCCAATCTAAGATAGCTTCGCGAATCCGGACAGAGGGCCGAGCCTGTCTGCTGCCAGAGGATATCAGAGTCGCGGTCTGAGTCTTCCTCCAGGGACAAAACGAGGAGACCGCCCAGGGGATTCAGTCTGTCGACATAGTACAGCCCCGAGGCTCAATTGCTAAGACAGGACGCGGAGTAAAGGCGGAAGAGGTCTTGGAAGAGATGGTCAGGATGTGGCGGTGCGCTGCTTGTCATCGGCATCCGGTGCAAACAGGGGTACATACACACAATGTTCGAAGTTCGACAAAACTTCAACCTCTGCCGACGAAATCCTGGGTGAAAAAAGGAGGGTTAAATATACCGCAGCAAGTATGAATACCCCCGGGATAAAAAATTGAATCAGTAACGAAAAATTCACGTACCCACCCGTAAAGTTGGGACGCGGGGAGTCGAACCCCTGCCTGCCGCCGCATTACACTCGCCATTGTCCAATGTAAGGCAGCCGTGCGCCGTACACCACGTCCCATTTATTCCCCTCGTTTGTCGCCTTCATTTCTATGAGTGGAATTTGGGAACTTGCCGGCAAGAAAATAACAAACAAAGGGACGCGAGGAGGCGAACCCCGGCCTGCCGCTTCACTGTATGCCATGCACTGTGCAAATTGAACACAGCAGTGCACAATACACCACATCCCATTTCTTCTCCTCGTTCGTTCCTTGCATTTATATCAGTGGAATTTGGGAACTTGCCGGCGAGGAAATAAATCCTTGCCAGACAAAAGAAAACAGTATGTGCAATTTTTTAGGTGTGACGCGGGGAGTCGAACCCCGACCTGCTTGTCTACCCACGTAGACTAATGTAAATGAACGTAGACACATGTAGACAGGGTATGTCTACATGGGGTCGGAACGCAGTGTGTACCCCCGGAAATCTTCCTACATTCTCGACTTGCGAACAAGGGAAAATAATGGGACGTGGCGTATGGTGCAGGGCTGCAGTCAATGAATTGATCCGAAGTATTGAACAGCAGCAGGCCGGGGTTCGACTCCCCGCGTCCCACCTGAAATGCTCCGCCAGTTAGTTTTATTTTGTCTGGCAAGGATTTATTTCCACGCTGCTGTTCTTGAATTGCGCTGGTATAAATGCAGACAAAAAACGAGGGGGATAAATGGGACGTGGTGTACGGTGCACCGCTGTATTCAGTTGGCTTTCACTGAAGAAGTTACATTCGCAGCAGGTCGGGGTTCAATTCCCCGGGTCTCACTTATATCGGCGGAGCCGCTGAGGCCGTCTTTTTTTCCTCAGAGACAACTCATAAGATAATGAGTCTTGAAATGGCTCTTCACATCCTCTGTCCAGAAAGCGTTCCAGAGGATTGAGGTCAGTGTTTTTTTGCCAGTCGGATGCGGAGGACTTGTCAAGGACAATCAAGCAATTAACGGGCCGATGACGGGTCCGGGGTCGTTGATCCAAGACTGCGATCGGGCCGATGACGTCACTGTCCGCCTCTTGTTCTTTTTTTCAAATGTTTTTGAACACCTCGGCTCACTCGGACATCGGCTGCCGACAAACCCGTCATGCGGAGAAGAGTCGGCGATGTCGGCAATCAATCTGCACCGCCACATTTTCCTCCCTTCCTCCACGTCGCGACTCGCTATTCCTCCGAGCTGCATCCACGTACTTCGTGCCGTTGGACTCTATAGGATTTTGGCTCATGATCCCGATTAACTCTGGCTCGCGACTCAGTACAGGACGGCCTCAAGTTCCGTGGCGTCGGATATCGTTTATCTTTGACCTTTGCGCACGGAGACTCTTAAACTTGGAAATGCCTGAATTGCTAGAAATTGTCATTCATCTCTCGTTAATTTCAGGAGGTTTAAACACTACGTCAGCACCTCCATGTACGCAATGCTACCGATGCGCAAACTCGGACTACTAATTATATCCGCTCCAATGCCGCTCTCCGATCTTCGATACTTGTATTCAATTGTTCGGCCATGTGTATGGAACCGATCTACACTGGCCAGGCTTTGCTCCCCGGAAATAAACCAACCCGGGAATGCAGAACCACCTGCTCCAAAAATATCCCCTAATTCGATCGATCTAGGCACAGCCTGAAGTTGATCGGCCAGGCAAGAAACTCGTTCCCTTCAACTTCGCGAGCAAAGTTCCCAATGGTTGTCAGTCATTTTGTTGTACTGAACGTCGCTGTTAGTCTGGTTTCCGATAGGCTGGACAACAAAGATTATCCTTCGTCCCGGCCATATAAATGGAACCGATCTACACTGCTCTGCGGAAATATATCGACCTCCCGATTCATTGTTCACCTTCACTCCTAAATGAATCTCCTAACTTCCATGATCGCCGCGGCATCCCTTCCTTTAAAAGCGCGAGATGACAGGCATGTCGCTCATTCCTTCCCCCTCCGTCCTCCCCACCCACATTAATTCTTTCCAATAATGCGTTTCACGTCGGCTTCCATCGCCTCCCTCACTCTCGTTACTCTCGCCACTCTCACCCGTGCCTCCGTCATCGAAGGCCTCGTTCCCCGCGGAACACCCACCGTCTCGAACGATGTCTGTGGCTGCATTGACTACATCGTAGTCGGCGGCTCCAAATACAATTTTGGGGGTACGTCTGGATCCCGAGTTTCCATCCTCGCACGACTAACTGACACCCCTTTCCAGCGGAAATCTGCACATGCACGAGCATCTTGCAGGAACTTATAGCAGCCTCCACCGGTACCCTCCGCACCGCGTACAACAAGTACGGAAGCGACAACGTGGTTCGCGCCCTCACGAACCAAGTGCGCATTATTCTTACTCTCTTCGCCAAGCCTCTCAACTGACGTATTCCCTTAGATAAATAGCTGCTCAGACAAAGACAAGAAGACCTGCCAGCACCCCTCGAACTCGCACCCCCAATGCTCGCGCCAGTCCCTCTGCGGCTACGCGTGCCAGAGCGGGTACAAGGACTGCAACGGCCAGTGCAAGCAGTCCTGCCCCACCGGCACCGTCTCGAACCCCACCAAGCGCGACGCCGACTACTGGGGCCACCGCGTGCAGAAGAGCTGCAAGGCCGGCTGGACTGCGTGCGGCGTCTCCGGCGGTGGCCCCCGCGATTGGGAGTGCGTCGACACACACAACGACCTCGAGAGCTGTGAGCCCCCGTCTTCCCCTGTATGCCCCCTTTTTTTTCTGACTTCGTTGTTTGCTTCGCAGGCGGTGGGTGCCCCACCGGCATCGTGTCGTCCCTCACGGGCGAGTCTACTGGCACCGACTGCACCACCATCGCCAAGGTCGCGGACGTCGCGTGCGTCGCCGGCGGCTGCGCTGTGCGCAAATGCATGCCCGGCTACACCGTCTCCGCCTCCGGGTCCTCCTGCGTGGAGGACACCAGCTTCTTCCGCAATACCCTCCACGCCGCCGCTGCGTATGGCCTGGAACACGTTCCGTTACACAACTAATACATTCGGTACTACGCTACATATCACTCGCGACTCGACTTACGGAAGGTTTCTTACATGGACGCATTCACAGTACTCACACTGTTTGGGTGGTCTCGCAGCGGGTACTTACATTGTACGATTATCTAATTATTAGAGTAAACATATTAATCTTTCTGCTGGCGTTCTCTGCAGCATCATTATCATTCTGTCCCGGTGTTTGCAATCTATGCATCAACCTCCGGTGTTTCGAGGAACAACCGCCTATCTGCAATGAACTGCAATCGTCCGGAACCGCTAATTAAAAGCCAAGCCCACATCGAATGAAGAAGGCGGATGAAGACGAGCAACTCAGGAGTTCCTTTGGGCGAAATAATTTTGGCCGGAAGAAAGAGTGCTGTAGAGTCTTCCCATCCCATCTTGCTTGTCGTTCGCACAGGTGTATCAACTTCTTGAAGGTGATTTGACGGTTTGGATTTCACCTCCGGCTCCGGCTGGAAATGGTGAATACCTTTCCTGGCTTCCAATTAACCTGTAATAGGTAGGATTTTTGCTAATTCGATGCCCGGAATCTACGAAATGCTACTTTCAAATGGAACGCCTGCACTTCAAGTTGTTCCACGGCTGTAGTCGATTGTGCACTATATGGTTCCCAGGACGACAAATTCTCCCTCTGCAGAAGCAGAAAATATGTTAGCTCAAGGAAGCGTACTAAATAACGGACGCACTTTGAACTCGGAGGTAGAAGGTTCCGATCCGCAATGATCCGTATCGGGCGCGGCGCCAAGATAGACAACCGATGACCACCACGACTTGACCACGACCAGGAACCTTGCACGATTCAGAGCGTTCTGCCCTGCGAATTCAACTTCAAGGTCGTCAGCCAACTCGCATCTAACTCTCTAAAGAGTCCTCAGCTTAACTCAGTCCAGAACTCAAGATTGGCTCATGACAGTATCAATTTCAAGCCAATTTCAACTCTAAATCCTTGATACAAAATATGGGCGTGAACAAGAACACATTCCGCTAACAGCGTTTGGAAGTGGCGAAGAAATTAAATCTTTCTTCGGCCAAAAAAATCGGATGCTGCAAAATCTATTGCGTAGGCCTAATGAATGGAGTGGTTAGAGATTTGCGACGGGTAGCTCCGTTACTACGAGGACTATCTACCGGAAACCCCGACTAAATCTATGCGGTTTCTAAGAGTTCTCATGCCGCTGAGGTCGGCCACATGTACAGTAAGTCTAACTCGTCCAGATGAATCGGAAGGTGATAATGGTCGAATACGCCTCAAGACCCAACATCGGAACATAGTTCCACTAGTGATATCCCTGAAGAATCCGCCAAGCCAACAGGTCGATTACATACAGCGCCAACTGACGAATGAACCCAGACGGCACACATGATGTGGCTGTTTCGGTACTTGTTGTTTCCTCCTTTAACTTTACCAGCACCCTGTGCCTCGGACGGAACCGACAGGGCGGTGGTGTTGAAAATATTGTCCTTTATATAGATTCTTGATAGTATGTGTATCTATCATTTACCAACTGGTCAACGAAGGCGTCATTTAAAGCTTAGTGCAAAGCACTGTTGAATGACATAGACGAAATTGACGTTGAAATTGTAGCTCTGTAGAATGGAGAGGTGAGCTGCGACACTGCGTAAAGAGTGGTTAATGAACCTGACGCGACCACAGGCGGAAAATAAGGACAGTCTCGATAAGGGATTGTACGACGAATACGAAATTGTAGTAGTTGACGTGCGAGGGTTTCAATATCACCATGAGAAGGCCTGGGAATGTCGCACTGACACCTTGTTCGACCCAGGTCTGTTCAGGGCAGGGCTTGAAGAACTGTGGTGTCTGTATGATGGGGATGGTGACGTCGTGGCGCATGAGCGGGAGGGTCTCCCGGAGGATGTCGGGGCGCGGGCAGAAATCGGCGTCGAAGATGACAAAGAACTCGCAGGAAATAAGGTAAAATGACGGAGATTACCGGCCTTCTTCAAGTGCCCACGATTCTCCCGACGGATGTAGGTGAACCCATACCTTCAATATATTCGCACCATTTTTTGAGCGAATGGACGAACATCTCTCTTTCTTGTGCAGAGTAACGTTGCTCGGTAGGCATCATTCATCGAGACTCGTATGCAATGGGCCGTAAGTCCTTGTCTTTGAAATCCCATTTAGAATCAGAATCGGCGCTAACATCCCTCCCTTCATTAAGAGTGATGCATTGCTGGAGTACCGTGCCGATGCAGTTTCCTGAGATGTCAGTGTCAATTACGAATAAACACCACAGAGTGGGATGGATGAGCATACGAGTTGCTGTAAGTGCACGTTTGAGTGCGTCGAAAGCGTGTTGACAAGTATCGGACCAGGTAATCAAAGCACCCTTCTTCGGAGAACCTTGAAGAAGATTATAAAGCGGGCTGGCAACGTGTGCAAAGTTCGGGATAAATCAGCGGTAAAAACCACTAGCTCTGGTGATAGTCGTAGGTGAGGGCCATTCGGTTATCGGTTTGACCTTGTCCGGATTAATTTATACACCTTCGCCAGAAACATAATGGCCGAGGTACACGATTTCGTTGATCAAGTGTGGTGTCGGCCTAGTGGA